ATGTACCACTTCTATCACATGTTGGATTGCTGCTGTTCATGATGGATCTTATGACTCAGTGGCATCATGGTCCCTCTTCAAAGGAACCCAGCCTCCTCCTCAATCAGTGGGCTCTGGGCTATGAAGAAACAGATAATTTTCCCTTGCAGTAGCTCAATTTATACAAATTGAGCAATACCCTCGTCAACTCTCCATCAATCTTATCCCTAGTGACACCATGATCTATTAGCCACTGATATAGATACCTACGGCTCAGTGATATGTCTCTGTTGTCTCTCATGAGTTAGTAGGCCACCTGTCCTTTGCCATTACATTGGCTCCCATTGATACTAGGGACTCAATTTCCCCATCATTGAACCCAGCCTTCAGAAGACTACCACCACCGAACTTCTCAAAGATGCTGATACTTCCACACTCCCACCCCCACCCCCACCAGCGCTTTTCTTTCTAGCTCAATGAGGGGAATGTTCTCTGGGCCATCCTGGGAAACAAAATCAGGTGGTGGGTTCTCAGGACTTACGATTCTAATATTCACACCTCACTGAGCCTTCTGTTCCTTTTCTCAATATTGTGCCAAAGAAGTTCTGACATCTCACCTTATCCACTGTAGGTTATTGTCATGAGAACAAGCACCATCTTGCAAGGCACCTGTTGCAATGCAGTCATTGCTTGGTCTCCAGGGCAAGAGGAGCTGTTCTATGCTGACAAAGGGGAAGGGGGTGCTTCTACCAGCCAGAGACTAAGGAAGATTTGGGGATCAAAGATTTTCAGGCTTACCCACCCAAATGCCTCCATTCCAGATCACTAGGTCCAATTCTTTCTCTATTCGAGCCCTGATTTGGACACCTAGGACACCTGTGTGGCTGCACGGTTAGTCTTCTTTTCAGCTCTGCAATCCTTACAATCAGATCCCGAGCCTAATTTTCAGCACAATCTATCTTGTGGATGTCAAGAGATGAATGTCCTTAAAGCGTTCACAACGCATGCCTTAAGTTAGCAAATAGCTTCTCTGAGCCTATCATTTTCTCTTTGCAAAACCTCCAGGACTGTCAGAAGAAGCCACTCAACCCCACAATATTTATGATTATCATTTCCCCACATTGATCTAGTGCAGCAGCCGCTGGACCTCCCAAAGCCTTGCTTTCTACCTGCATCTCATTCCAATTAGCTGCAAACAAAGCTTTAGAAACTGTAATGTCACTATATGCCAGGTATGACCCTGCTTACCATCAGTAATGGGGCCCCTACAGCTTCCAGATAGATGGAAAATCCAGCTCCAATGTCCCATCCTGAAGATTTGCTTTCTAGGGACACTTGTAGTACCAACTGTCCCTGGTTCTTTAGGAGACAGAGCACGAAGCAATGCTTGCTTGCTAACACTTTATTGAGGCTTACAATCCTAGGGCCATAAAAATAAGAGGAAAAGAGAAGTGAAGCAAAGAAGGAGGGAAGCAAATACAGGGCTGTGTGTTACTGAGCTGGCCACATCTTCAGAAGAAACATTGCCAGTTGTTCACTCATGCCTAGTAGACATCTCCTGACAGGGCAAACGGAATCACTACAATACGTATGCTGGGTCCCTCCCACCTCTTGTCTTTCACTGGTCAAAATTTGCCCCAAGGTTTAACTTCCGCATTTCTGAGTAGTTACCTGGCTCCTGTAGGCAGATCCCAGGTACACGGTGTGAGTTGCCATCTGAGTCTGGAAGGGTGAGAGGAGCCAGAACCTCTCTGGGTCCTGCCATGGCATGAGGGGCCTCACGACAAAGCCTGGTCTTCACCCTAAGGGAGGCTGTGATATTACATGTGTCAGGAGGGCCAAGAGGATGTGGGGCCAGGTGATGCTCAAGAGGTGCATAGATTGGGTCCAGTACAGGAATATTGAAGACCAGAAGGGATAATTCGGGCTTTCCAACATGCAAAACCTGCCCAGGTTCTCCCAAAGTATTGAACCTCCAGTTGGGGTCAGAACTTCTGAGTTCCAGGTGACCAGCTGTGTGATCATGGGTAAGTCACGTCTCTGAACCTGTCAAACGGGGTGGTTACACTTACCCTACAGAGTTGTGAGAATTGAATTAAAGTGGCAAAGGGCTCCATGTAGAAACATCAGGGGCTGCTGTCATATCTAAAGATTGAAGTCATGTACCGAACAGTTGTGTCCTGACTGGCTTAAGTGGAAAGACATTAAAACACTCAGTGTTACTTGACCTCAGCTGACCAATAAGATTCAATTTTGTGCCTCATTCTCCTGCTTCAAACTATTGGTGAGAGAAAGTCCTCTAGGAAGCCCCCACGAACACCCCAATACTTTCTTCCCATCCCTCCTCCCTCTATGATGGGCCCCTTCAAGGCAGCAACAAGATCTGATTTGTGCACTGTTGTATACCCAGCATCGAATGCTCTGCCTGGCCTTAGTGGGTGCTCACAGACACTATGTATGGAATGAATGAATGAGCAAATGAATGAACAAACGAACCAACGAACCAGTATTTCCACATCTTTGCCCAAGGGATTCCCAACGCTTGAAATACTCCCCTACTCCCAACAGGTCATCTTATTCTGGAAGCCTTTACTGCCCCTCCCTCCAGCCTTCATTCCTCTGCCTTCCCCTTACAGTGCAGGCCCCTTCTCACACCACAGCTGACAGTAGGTGGTCATTGGACAGTGGAACAGCTGATTTTATTATCTGTCTCCCGGATCAGACCCAAGCTCTTGGAGGGGACAAGGCTGTGTCACCCAGCATCTCGCCCGTTCAGTTGTGGCTCTGTAGAGTTTATATGGAGAATAGCCTTGGGCAGCACTCTGCGTGAACAAGGTTGCTAGGAAATTGTCTGAAAGCCGGTTTGCAGAGCAGTTTACTCAGTGTGTGTGCTTATACGGGGTGACTTATGGGTGCCCATAGACACTGGGGAAAGGAACTAAGTAAATGTTTCTTCAGTGAAGGAGCTCTGGTGCCTGACTCCCACTCTCTGTCCTGAACCCCTGGTACCCTTGCCCAACCGAAAAATAGGATTGTCCATACCTGGGCGGGGATGGGGGTGGGGGGGAGGTGTGCTTCAGAAGGCCACTCCATCAGTCAAAGCGCCTGCCAAGCGCTTCCACTAGATGAGCAGAGCTGCTGCGCCTTCCTCTGGAGCGGCCTGTGGGGCCAGGGGCAGCTTGCTTGAAAGAAACGTAACGGGCTACTTCGCGACCGACTTGTTGATAATCTTGCCTCAAACAAGAGTTTGAGACGGTTGAGGAAAAACAGTGGTGGAGAGGTCCTCCCCAAGGCCGTCGGCAACTCCTTCCAAGACGCAGCCGTGCGGTTGGAGAGGTACCCGTGCCGGGACTACGGAAGAGAGAACACGGCCCTCGGCCCCGGGAGGGGCGGCCTGTACCTTCGAGCCCGGGCACCCGGGGAGCCTCCGCCCCCTCCGAAGGGGGCAGGGGAGGGGAGGGAGTCCGCAAGGACCGACCGCAAAAAGGGGTCTCCGCAAATCGCTCTTTACCCCCTTACCGCCGTCTCGGAGAAACTTGGGGGGAGGGCAAGCGAGGAGCAAGACCCCCTAGAGCTGGGAGTCCTCTTCCTCCCGGGTGAATAAATAAATTATTAAGCGCCCAATACACAATAGCCTCGCTAGATGGAGACGAGGAATCACTGCAGCGGCGCTGGCGGCGGCGGCGGGGAGCGCGGGCGGGAGCGCAGCCCCGGGCGGGAGGCGGGCGAGGCTCTGGCGAGGCTCACGTCTGTTTTCCTTTTTCGTGCATTATTTATTTCGCCTCCGCCCGCGGCCCTGCTGCCCGAGCGGGCGCTCCCGGCCAGCGCCTCCAGCTGCTGCTGCTTCCCGCGGGCCGGCGTGACTGGCGAGCAGAGCTCGGGCACCCCCGCGCCCGGGGCAGCCGCGCGGCGCCACCGGGAAGGGCGGGGACCCGGGGAGGGCACGCGCTGCCGGCTCCAGGCGGCTTGGAGGAGACTTTCCCCGCCCTCGCCTCCGCCTCGGCAGCCCGCCCCGGCCCTGGGCGCGGGTTGCCGCCTCTCCCGCCCCGCGCACGGCCAGGCGCAGCCCGGAGCCACCGCGCCCCCGCGCCCCGTGCGAGCGCGCCGCGCCTGGGACCCCGGCTCAGCCGCCTCGGAGGCCCAAGCCGCGCGCAAACTTTTGCTCCAGTGCCCGGCGCTCCGCCTCGGCATGTGAAGCCCCCAGGCTCCCGCGCAGTCGCCAGGGTGAGGACCAAGGCCCCGCCTAGAGGGCGGGGGACTAGGGAGGCGGCTGGCTTTAAATGGGGGCTGTCCGGCGGTTTGGGAACATTCTGCCGCGAGGGGAGCGAAGACCTCCCCTCTCCGCGCCAAGGATCGGCTGGGGCCGCCGCCAGGCAAGGTGGTCTGAGGCACTGGAGGGGTGCGGGCGGAGATGGAGACGTGGGGGAAGCTCAAGCCCTGAGGCGGGAGGCCGGGGCTGGGAGAGCGCGCCAGAGCAAATGGGGTGCGCACGGATGTGCATATGTTGCAGTGTGCGCAGTGAGAACCGGCGGGGCAGAGAGGGTGCACGCAGCGACTGTTTTCATGGTGCTGTGCATGCAGGGTCAGCAAGTGTGCAGGCAGGAGTCAGTGGGTGTGCACGGCTGTTTCCGTGGGTGTGCACGCAGAGTGAGTGCTGCCCGCCGGTTTGAAGTGTGCTTACAGTGGGAGTGAGTTGTACATGGCTGTTTCTGGGGGAGGCGCACGGGGCTCGGTAAGTGTGCTTGGCTGTTTCTGGAGGTGTGCACGGGGCCAAGGCACACACGCGGGGCTCTGGAGGTGTGCGCCAGGATAGGGTATGAGTTCGGGGATGCCGGCTTCTGTGAGTGTGCACGAAGGGTCAGGGAGTGTGCAAGCTGGAGTGAAGGGGCAGGCTTGGTTTACGAGGGTGCCCCACGGTGCGGGGCGTACCGGCCCGACCCGGACTGCTACGTGTGCGAGTGCGCGATGGCGATGGTGCCCGCGCGGCGCCCGCCTGACCCGTGCTTTGCTCCCCTGCCAGTTCGCCCTGAGAGCGGGTGCCGCGGGCCGAGATGCTCCTCCGGGACCGGGTGCTGCGCCGTGGTTGCTGCTGGTCTTCGCTGCTGCTGCACTGCGCGCTCCACCCGCTCTGGGGCTTCGTGCAGGTGAGCGGTGGCGCCGGCTGCCGGGCTGCGCGGGCTGGGGGACCTCCTGGGCTGGACCAGGTGTGGGGGGGGGGCGTCACTTCACTCCCATGAGCCCAGCTTCCTGCAGCCGCCCCTCTGATTGGTCCTGGGGAGAGTTTAGGAAAAGAAAAGATACTGGAGCCCCCTGTACTCTGGCACGGAAAAGATAAGCAAGTCCAGAGGGAGCCTTCAGTCTGGCCTGTGGAGGCCTGCGGGACAGGGCCTTGGAACAGGAAGGGCTTAGGGAAAGCCTTCTTGAGGATAACGTTCTATTGCAGAAATGCAGGAAAAGAAACCTTAGAGCTTTTACAAACTTAAAAAGATAAATGATCCCAAGAATAGACATCCTTTTATTTCCCACCAGAACAGCTGGTAAACTTCAAATTAGCCTTCTTAACCTGGACTTCAGGACAGGAGGGGCTGTGTTTCTGTAAGCGGTGGAGTTGGGGGTGTGAACAGATAGTGTGTGGTGGCCACTCATGGGGAAGATGAGAAGAAACTGTCCATCCGTAAGGATTGCCTGCGGACGCAATTCTCACCCTGGGTCCCCTAGCCCCCATGGCAGAGGCCAGGTGGCCACCAGCTAGAGTTACTTCTGTTAGGGTCAGAGACAAGGTTAGATGGGACAGTCCCTGGTACCTCCCAGAATGTACACGGTCAATGGTACCGTGGAGTGAGAAGAGGTGGACTTGGTGTCAGCTCTGAATTCTGAGCCCCAGCTTAGCCCTTACCAGCTGGAGGATTAAGGCAATGCACTTAACCTCTCTGGGCCTTGGTTTCTTCTCCCTCACTGTGCTATTATAAGTACTTGATGAGATAAAGCAAGTAAAGATTACTTAGTGCAGTGCCTGGACCATAAAAAGCACTAAACGGTAGCTGTTGCTGCCGTTATTGTATTAATAATAGTAATGCTGCTCTTCTCTCTGGCTGGCCAGGTACTCTGTTGATCACTTCGTAGTCTGTTTGACATTTTTGAGTTGTTAATGGTTCAGCAGGTGCTGGAGGACATTGTTACTGTTTCAGACATTGACATATCCCACCCCGGGGCATTTGCAGCTTCGTGTGCTCCTGGTGGCATTTGGGGGCTTGGGGATCATTCAGATGGTTGTCCTGAGTAGGGGGTGACAGTCCAAAGAAGAAGGGAGGGAGTGAGACTGCTTGCGCGTCTGCTGTGGTCCTTGAGCTGTCCCAAGTGATGGGGCCCTGCTGGGAACCAGCTCAGTCAGTCCTGCTTGGATGGTGGCCTGGGGGACCACAGGGAGAGGACGAGAGGCTGGAAGGAGCGTGCCGGTTGAGTGGGTGGGTTGGCTGGGATACACCCCCCAGCCCAGCACCAGGCTTGTCTTCTCTCTTCTCTGGCTTGCCTCTGTCTCACTCACAATGTTGTTTTCCTTTTGGAATTGACAGCTTTGTTTAATGTGTGAAACCGCAGTTATTAAACTCAGCTGTGCCTCCCTAGGATTCAGGATTTTGTCACTACTAAACACTCGGGCGGTTTGGGACCAGCTTTGCTTGTTCAACTTTTAGTTGAATCTCAGATGTTAGGTTCACTTCATCTTCATATTCATTGGTTTACAGTTTTCTCTCTTCCATGAGACTTTTTCAGTTAGTATGGAGAGCAACATAATGATGCTGTCAGTCTCCAGGACTGGCATTCTGCCATGTGAACTAGCAGGATCGAAACAGCAGACCCCCGACCTCCCCATCGCCAAAAGAAATAATTTTGTGAAAGCAGCTCAGTTTTTGAGCAGTGTCCTTCAGCCAGGCAGTCCTTACACAAGCAAGTGTGTGTGTGTGTGTCTGTGTGTGTGTGTGTGTGTCTGTGTCAGATGCTCAATACAAATCAATTTTCATGAAAATCAATTACAAAAAGAATCCTCCAGGCAAGGAGAATGGGTAAAATCTTGGCTGGAGGCTCTGGAAAAATTAATCTACAAATGATAGGGACTGAGAAGCCAAGAGAAGAGGGACTTTGGAATGGATGGATCTGGTTTTTAAGCAAAAGAGCTGAATCCAGGGGACTAGAAGGGAGAAGAGGAAAAATGAAGGTGCATGAAGCCATGTGTTTCCGTTTAAGTGGAGAGATTAAAATCTGTCATGGCAGAGGAGTTTCTAGAATATAGAGAAAGAATTCAGAGCTATCTGTGCTTTCATGAGCATTTTGCCAGAAGAATCCCCCACAGTCGTAAACATTTGGACGGGTGAGACCAACATAACAAAGTGCTATAATTAATAGGATAATTGGTGAAGCAAGAGACCTGTGGTCCCCAAAGCATCAGGTCCTACCCTAAAATCTGCCCAAAGCCTCTGGCTGCTGCCTAGATGATAAGAAACTTAATCATTAAAGTGAAATGACACTTAGATTGCCACAAGGTTGGAGGGGGGGGCCCTTCCTTAGTCTCTCCTCTATTTTCTTTAATGTGTCTGGAATTGAGATTTTGAGCTTTTGTGATTTAGGGTTCCTCTAAGTTCACTTCCAGATGATTCCTTTTTTTGCAAGCAAAGAGGATGACAGGCTGGCAAATTTATTAGGTGTGACAGCAGTATGTCTCATCAAGTTACTGTGGTGCTGGCCTGTCTCCATAAAAGATGCCAGAAGCCATCATCTTTGTGGGCGTCCTCCTAAAGCAATCGTCACGGAGACAGGCTCTGATCCGGGCCTCTGGGTCTCAGTGCTGATGAGGAGCCACCCGAGACCCAAGCCATGCTGACCTCCCACTATGGTCAGTCACTATAGCTTTGCTTATTCACTCAGCAGCATTTATTGGGCACCTACTGTTTGCCAGGCTGTGTTAAGTGCAAGGGACCTAGTGGTCCCTGCCCTCATGGCATTGACAGTCTGGCATTCGAGAGAGAATTGTAGGTGGGAGCAAATAGCTTGGAGATGGGAGCTGGTGGAACAGTCAGAGAAGCCTCACAGCTGAGACATGAACCAGGAGAATCAGGATTCAGGAGGCAAGCTGGGGAGAAGTGTCCGGGCAGAGCGGCCAGCCCCGAGCTGGAGGAGAGAACGTGGCATTGGAAGAGCCCCAGGGAGGGAAGCCCCCCGGTGAGGCCGCTATTATAAGCCACTAACATCTTACAGTTTGGATTTGATCCTGGGGATTCCAGGGGCTGTTGAAAGTTTTAAGCAAGAGATGATGTGATCTCAGACTGGCATTCAGAAATCTCAGTTCAACTCCAATACGGAGTTTGGATACAGGGAGGGGCGGGGCGAGGGGCAAAGAGGCTGGTGAGGGTAGAGTTGCCCCATTTAGCAAATAAGAATACAAGAAGTCCAGTTCAATTTGAATTTCAAATAAACTGTGGGTCATTCTTTAGCATAAGTATATCCCATACAATGTTTGGGACATACTTATACTAAGAAATTGATGGTTAGTTTGTCTAAAATTTGACAAATGTCCTATATTTTCTCTGGCAACCCTGGGTGAGAGGCAAGTGCTGCCCAGTGGAGATCTGATGGTAGCCTGGTGGGAATGGGAGAAGTGGATGGATTCAAGGGCTATTTAGGAGGCAACATCCGCTGGACCAGAAAGCTGCACTGATGGTCCAGGAGTGAATGGGAGCTGGCAGCCGTGGAGCACCGTGTCTCCCAGACCAATCCAGGTGCCTGGAGGACCTACCTGAGCCTGAGGACTCTGGCCCCAGGAGAATGCTGCAGAGCAGAGGCAGAAAGGCAGACGACGACAAAACAAACAAAAAGTGGTCCCAGGAAGTGATGATACCAGCTTTTGCTCTGTGGGCCTTAGAGAAGTCATTGACCTCTCTGGGCCTCTGCTCCTTCTTAGTCAAGTCCAGCTAAGATTTGCAGGTGACTTCAGGGTCAAGTTTCTTCTCCTTGTGGGACCCCCCAAGATGTAAAGCAACTAAGCTGGGCACTGAGACAAGCTCCCGGGACTGAGGTTTCCTCTCTACTTGTCTGAATACACCATTGCCAACCAGCAGAGCCCCAAAGTGGACCCAGAGGAAGGGAATGGGGTGGATCCTGCGTTTCTCCCCTGGTGGGCACGCCTTTTCACTGAGCTCCTACTGAATGCCGGGCCCCGGGCAGTTTTGGTTCATTGCTTAGCCTCGCTGAGCGTGTCATCCCACCTGGTAAGTGTGGATAATGATACCTACCTCTCCCGGTTACCTCCTGGGGAAATGAGAGCCTGTTGCCCATGGCTGACACACAGTAGGGCTCAGGAAGTCACACACAGTCAGGATTAATAAAGCACAGACCCACCTGTCTGCCTGCCCCAAGATGCTCATGGCTTAGTGTGGGGGGACAGACATTACAAAACAGTGGGACAAGTGCCCAGAAGAGAAGGGTTTACAAGATGAAGAAGCAGTGCTGGGCAGGTGGGTCTCACTTGGGGAGGTGTGGGGTTCAGGATGGCTCTCCCACAAAGGCTGTGACAACTGCATTTGAAGGATGAATAGAAGTTCGCAAGTGGAGAAAGAGTCCGAGTAACCAACTGTCAGTCGAGGGAGGCTCAGCGGCCACAGGCTTGTGCGCTGGACCAGACTCCAGCCCTCCGGGAGAAGGACAGGCTGGATCCTCTTGTGGTGACAGTTGGTTGAGCGGTTGTACTCGCTCCAATTTCAGTGGGGCCGTTTTACAAGAGACCAGGATTTTTTTTTTGGTGATGAAAATTGTCCCTGCTCTGACATCTGTGCCAGTCTTCCTTTAATTTGTATGTGGGCGCCGCCATAGCACGGCTGACGAGTGGTGTGTATGTCTGTGCCCAGGATCCGAACCTGCGAACCCAGGCCGCCGAAGCAGAGGGCGCAAACTTAACCACTATGCCACCAGGCTGTCCCAGGACCACAGATCTTTAAAATGCAGTACTCTCCCTCGATCCCTCCCCCTTCAGCCCAGAAACTTGGCCCTGGTCTCCCCGCCTGTAATTTCATCACATTAAACCCTCTCTTACAGCTGTGCCCTTGTATCCTCTCACAGAAATAGGTCATTGTGTTGGGCTAGGTTAAACAAACGTGCTCCTCTTGAACTCTCTCGCATAAATTGCGCCTTGCAGAGTGGGAAAGTAATTTGCTTTGGCAACGGCATTGCTTGAAGTTCGCACACTTGGTAGAGTTCATTGGAAAAGCGATCTCAGAGACCAGCCGTTGGGAAAATGGAGCTTTCGAGCAACTCCCACCGTCTTAGAAGGTCGGAATCCGGAGGACAGGATCAAAAATGAGAGGCCAACAATTGCACTGGTGGAGAAGCCAGCAGATTTGCCACTGTCGTCTAACGAGTTAATCATCTCCGTAAAATAATTGAGAAAAGCCTCACGATCTGAGGATATGCTCTTCCCAGTGGGAGATAAGATTGCCTTCCAGAGTTTGAAACACAGTCAATGGTTCTTTAAAAACACTAAAAGGTGGTGAGCAGGAGCTTCTTGGCCTGGTAGATATTAAGCCAGGGCTGTAAATCAATTCACCTCCTGTGGCTACCCCGGTGGCCATTATCCAGCCTGTTTCGAGCACCGCAGGCTCTCTCTGCTGGGCCCAGGACATGCAGCAAAGGGACTGCATTGGCCTCCGAAGGCAGCCTGCAAATGCTTTTCCCGAAAGCAGGCCACACGTGGCTGGCTGCAGGGAAATTGGGGTTCTGGGGTTCTGGAGACGACAGCCAGAGAAATTAACCATGGGCATCATTGAGGTGGGGGGTGACCGCCGACTCTTTCCTTCATGCCTTGAAATCAGCTTGTTCCCTGGGACAGACACAAAATGCTACACTTGTGGATATATGGTGCCCTGCCATGGGGAGGGACACTGGCGGTGGGTCTAAACCAGCGGTTCTCATGCTGGCTGGATACTAGAAGTCTAACCTGGGCAGTTTAAACAACACACCCATGCCCAGCTCCACCTGCAGAAATTCTGATTTCATTGGTTGTGGGTAAGGCTCAGGCTTGAGTATTTTTTAAGGCTGCCTGGGAGATTCTGTGTGCAGTCAGGGTTGGGAACTGTTGAGCACAGCCCCCTCCTCCTACCCTTCCTAGTTTACAGATGGGGAAACGGAGACTGGTGTTGGAAGAGCACCAGACCAGGATTCAAGAGGTGTGAATTACCATCCTGTTTTTAATATTCATTCATTCATTCGTTTGTTTGTTCATTCATTCATTCACCAAATATTTGTTGAATGCCAGGCATTCCCTTAGGTGCTGGGTTATGATAGTGAGAGAGAAAAAATAAAAGGCCTGGCCCCTGCCCCCATAGAGCTTATAGTCCAGTGATGAATAGGGTTATGACTAGGTAGTCACCCAAACATAGATTTCTGCCCCACAGAGTAGAACCCAGTGCCATGAGAGCCCATAAAAAGTAAATCTGACCTGGTCAGGAAGGTCAGAGATGCCTCCCTGAGGAGGCGATAGCCAAGCTGAGCAATGGACAAAGCAGGAGAAAGGTGTGGGAGAACATTCTGGGCTATTGGAACAGCACATGCAAAGGTGGGGGCATGGGCAGGGCCCAGGGTCTGGAGGAAGGGCAGTGAGGGCAGAGCAGAGGGCGAGAGCATCGGGCGAGGTGGGGCTGGAGACTGTCGGGGGCCTCCCGTGCAGGGCCCTGTGGGCATGCGATCCCCTGAGCTGTGGGCAGGCAGTCGGGTTGTTGGGGAAAGGCAGGTGGTCTGGTCAGGTGTGTTTCCCACAAGACCCCCTGGGGACCTCGTGGATAATGTTGGGGAGTTTGCGCTGCTCCCCTTGGTCACATGGGACACCAGAGCAGAGGCCTGGCTGGGTAAGGTTCCTCCCGCAAGATGAGGGGACCTTGACCCAGGGTGGACACACAAGGCGGTCAGGAGCTGTAGCCGGAGAGAAGGCGAGGGCTTGGCCTTGCCCCATAGCGTGGAGAAGTGGTTGGCTCAGGTTCCTGAGGAGGCAAAATCAGTATCCCGTCACCAACTGGGTGTGAGAAACTTGGGCGGCCGCTTCTGCTGCCTGGGCCTGAGTTTCCTCATTTATCTAATGGGGAGATTCTAGGAGTTAACCTTCAATTTCTTGTCTGTCTCTCACTAATATCCAGTCAATTGCCATGGTCCCACAGCCAGTTCCTCACAGAGCTGGAAATAAAACCTTGGTCTCCAAAACTGCCAGGCCAGCCTCCCACAACATTGTTCCCTTTGAGCCAACCCGACTTCTGTCTCTTCTCCCCTCCGGGGTCTGGGGGAAGAATCCCAAGTTCCAGCCTGGCGGGGAGTGGGTGGGGTGAGCCCATTTCAGCTCCGGGTTTCTTCATTGTCTTCCCTTGGGCACGTGTGCCCATTCCTGCAGGTGACGCACGGGGAGCCCCAGAAGTCCTGCTCCAAGGTGACCAACAGCTGTCAACACATCTGCCAGTGCCGACCCCCTCCCCCGCTGCCCCCACCACCCCCGCCCCCGCCACCTCCCAGACTCCTCTCTGCTCCAGGTAAGTAGAGGCTCACTCTGTTTCCGGGTTTCTCTCTGGGTTTTCGGGGCCCAGGAAGAACCTGTGAGCATAGCAGAGGGCAGCCTTGCTTCCTTTGTAATTTTCCACTGGCCGAGCAGGAGAGAAGCCAAGGCCCAACTTTTCTCTGCAGTCTGCAAAACGCCTTTGCCGAGAATGTTCCTGCGAGATGGAGAAGGATGTTTCTCCATGGGTTAATCAGATAAAAGTCAATCTCCATTTGATGAGTGACTCGGCCTGGATTGTTCTGAAGGCCAGACCTTTAAGGGGGGCAGCCACGGGCACCGGTCTTAAATACCACAGCCACGCGCAGGGTTTCATTTTTCGATTTTAATTCACATTTAAGGAGGCATTTCGTATAGAACCGAAGTGGAGGCTCTCGGAGCAAAGTTATATGGATGCCTTTCAGCCATTTGCAGCAAATTCTGCTAAAACCCCCCCACTCTCTCGTTTGCCTTGATTTCATCTCTGAACGATTTGAGTGCCTGGTCATTCAAACAAAGGAGGGTTTCTTTAGCCAGAAATGGCCTCAGCCCGACCTGTAGGGGTTAAGTTCCCTGCTTACATTTCTACTTGATAAAGTCTCTAACAAGAGAGTCTGTATTTTGGATGGATCGTTCAAGTTTCAGCCTATAGAATGCCCGTGATCACGTGTGGATCTACCTCATTAGACACATCTCCGTTGAATTATTTGGGGCATATTTTAAATAACCTTGACGACGCTTGTTCTCTGCTCGGCTGTGTTTCCAGGCTCTCAGTGTCTGGGCAGGGACACAGTGTTCTGGAGGATCTTTGCAGTTCGTGTGCATTTCTGCCTCTGTGTGCTAGGCCCCTACCTGTCTCCGTTCTTACCTGACACCTGTGGGCCAGTGCATTTCAGAGTGTGACCTTCATCATCGCCTGAAGCATTCGTTTTAAGTGCAGCTTCAGGGGCCCGCTTCAAACCTACCGAGTCAGGGTCTTTGGGCTGGGGCTTAGGAACTGACATTAGAACAAGTTCTGAAGTTCAAATGCAAGTTAAAGTCAAGAACCTCGGCCTACCAGGTCCTCTGCGCCCGGCCTCTGCAGGATCCTTCTACCCCAGGATGCTCTCCTCCTCCCCTCTCCTGAAGGAATCCTTGGGCTGTACTGGGAGGCCCGGTCTCAGGCACCTGCCCTTGGAGATCACTCCCTGCCCTTCCTTCAGAATTCCCCCTCCTTTCGCTGTTTAGGCTCCAGGCCTGTGTTGTCTCCAGCTGTGCTTGTATCTAATGGGTCCACACCCGAGTTAGCGTTCTTTCAATTCATCCTGTGCTAACTGACCTTCTGTGCCCGACAGAGAAGTGAAAGACCACTCTGGTTCTTCCGGGATCTCTCAGCCTCACAGGGAGGGCCCTCCTGTCAGCAACCCGTAAAAAGTGGCCTGACCGGTGGCGTAGCTGTTAAGTTTGCATATTCCACTTTGGCAGCCCAGGGTTCACAGGTTCAGATCCCGGGCGCAACATACACACCACTTATCAAGCCATGCTGTGGCAGTGTCTTGTATAAAGTAGAGAAAGATGGGCATGGATGTTAGCCCAGGGACAATCTTCCTCAGCAAAAAAGAGGACGATTGGCAAGGGATGTTGGCTCAGGGCCAATCTTCCTCACCAAGAAAAAAAAAAAGTGGCCTGAGAGCACAGACATTGTTCTCCAGGTGCACTGAAATCCCCGAGTCGTTAGGCCACAGTAAACAGTAACATTGACCTGGATCTTAAAGAATAAATGGGATTGTTCTAGGTTGATAAGGAGATTGTGGAGAAAGGGAATCTAGGCAGAAGGAACAGCATGGGCAAAGGCTTGGAGGTATGAGCCTGTGAGACTCGTCTTGGGAGTGACAAGCCCTTCAGTGGGTTTGAAGGAACAGTCAAGGGGTGGACTGTGAGAGGCCTTGTGTGCCTGGCTGAGCAGATCTTGTTTTATCCTGTGAATTGTTGTTTGCCAAACATCATTCACCACATCTAAATACCTCCTGTTATTTGCCTTGTTTCTTCTTTAAATAGACTCACTTTTATGTTTATACAAATTAATTTCCAAAGGCAATTTTATGTAACTGCTGTCAATGGAAAACTGGTATCACTTGCATAAAAAGAAGGTGGCGATAAAAATAAATGCAGTGAAAACAAACCAGTGTTTTAAAGTCCTAGCCTGCTGTGGAAGGTTCTGAGCTCAAGGCCTTCTGTCTTTTTGTTAAAAAGGGAAAGAAGCAAGGGGTAGAGAAGTGTCAGAGCCACAGTAGCACCATGCGGAGATTTTTCTCTGTAAAGAAATCAGAAGGTTTGTAAGAGAATCAAAAGGAGCCTAAGTTTCTTGTTCTGTTTCACTGTGTTTGAGCGCTGGGTCCATGTGCCATCTAAAATCAGCTCATTGACTGGGGGGACAGGCACCCCATCCTGTAGGAAACCGCTCTGGACAGCGACGAGCCCACAGATGTGTTAAGCAGGGAAGTGACATGATTCTGTATGATCTGCTTCAGAAAGATCAACTCTCCTGACCATGTGGAGTGTGGACTGGGGGTGAGCTGCCAGAGTGCAGACAAGTGGGGGACTCTTGAGATAATTCAGGCCCCAGACCACCCACGAGCGCCTCAAGCAAGGCTGGGGGCTGAAGAGAAGGGGACGCAGGCAGGGAGTGCCTGGTGTGAGGGGGCAGAGGCCTGATGTTGAGATCTGGGCCTGAGGGCGCTTCTGGGTGAGAGGAGGGCAGCTGTAGTTTGATCCTATGGTGGGACTTTCTCAGTTACACGTAGCAGAAACCCATCCTGAAGTGACTTAAGCAGTACAAAAACTAGGAGAGAGATGGTAGTTTTTTGGCTCATGTATCAGGATATTCCAGTACCAGGTCTTATATGATGATCGTATTGGATTTCTGTCTCTGTCTCTCTCTTCTGATTTCTCCTGGGTTGCCGTTTCTCTCAGACTGGCCCAGTCCCTATGGCTCCAGGCCCCAGGAGGCCATCACCCTGACAGTTAGTAATCTCCCTACAAAGAGAGCTTCTCTTTCCCAACCCTTCAACTAAAGTCTTGGGGCTGACTTTCATTGGACCAGCTTGGGTCACATGTCCATCCCTGGACCAATCATGGTGGCCCATGGGATGGAATATGCTGATTGGTCAGGCCTGACCACCCTTGGAGTTGGGGTGTGTGGATAGAGGTTAATGGAGTGGTGGCTTCCCAAGGGAAAATTGGGTGGAGGGACTGTCCTCCAAGGATGAGGACATGGACACTAGGCAGGGAGGACAGCAGATGCACCCACAGCCATGGTGTGCTGGAGGCATGTGAGGCAGATCAGACCAGTGGCAGAGAATGTGTTTTGTTCATTTTCTTGATCCTCATTGAGCTCAGCCCAGACCCTGCACTCAAGTAGAGCCCCACGAATGTCAGACAGAGACATAGCCACATCTACAACTTCGGCCTGTTCTGGAATCCCCAAGGAATTAGCCTCTCCCAGAGGGCACGGGGCTTTAGTGCTGTGAAGCCTCTGTTGTCGTTCAACAGGTGTGCTTGGAGCTCACCTGGTGCTGGGCACTGTGCCGGGGGCTAGGAAGTCAGCAGTGAGCAGGAGAAGGGCAGGCCCTGCCCTCATGGAGCTCCCCGTCCAGTGAACTGTCGTTTGCAGAAGGTGTTCGCAGGAGTGTCCTTTCCTGCCATCTTTCTGGGTACGCTGGCTCCAGGCATGTCATCCCTTGCCCATTGGATCATCCGATGTGCCTTGCATCCTTGCTGCTCACACAGGCCTCTCCTTCACCTGGCGAACGTTGGCCTAGTGCCTGCCCCGTGTCCAGCCCCACGTTGGGCACAGTGGAGGCACACAGGGACTTGTCCTCACCAGCAGGGGCTGGGTAATAGAAAGACAGAGAATGCAGCCTAAGAGGCTGAGTCCATGAGCCTAGGTTGGCTGCTAGCCCTGCCACTTCCTCTGTATGATTTTAAGAGGGCTGGTTAACTTAAACCTCAGTTTCTTCTTCTATAAAATGGACTTGAGGATCAGACCCACCCCCCGGGGTTGACGTGTGGATTCCCGTTAAGTGAAAAGTGCTTTTGAGGGCTGGCCCTGTGGCTTAGCGGTTAAGTGCGCGCGCTCTGCTGCTGGCGGCCCGGGTTCGGAACCCTGGGCGCACACCACTTCTCCAGCCATGCTGAGGCCGCGTCCCACATACAGCAACTAGAAAGATGTGCAGCTATGACATACAACTATCTACTGGGGCTTTGGGGGGAAAAAAAAAAAAAAAAAAAACAAAAAAAAAAAAAAAGAAAAGTGCTTTTGAGAACTGGACAGGTATCCATTGCTAATCATCCCATAAAAATCATTCTGATAAAGAGCAGCCTATGAACACTAGACTTGGGGAATTAAAACGCGCTGCTGGGGAAGGATATTTAATTCCAGAAGGGGAGGAAGGGAGGATCTGGGAAGACAGGAAAGAATTCCCAGGTAGACTTTGGATCTGCAGGAGCAGAGGGAAGCCAGGCAGGCTGTGGAGGAGAGGGAGGGCTGATGCAAAGGCCCAGAGCTAGAGGAAGAAAGAGGGGAGAGAGAAACCTCTGCACATGTCCACGCAGACCTGTAAAACCCCCACGGAAGTAACAGCCAGGAACCTGGGTCAGAATTGTTGTTGTCCTCCACGCGGCCAGGCAGGCCTCCCTCTTCTTCCAAAGAGGGGTGATGCCCAAGATGCTAGGGTGACCAGCTCATCCCGGTTTTAGCCCTGAAAGTCCTGCATCCTAGGAAACTCTTCAGTCCTGGGCAAACCACGGCAGTTGGTCACCCTACTGCTGGGCCACCCTTTTCCTGGAAAAGGCAACGTGTTTTTTTGTTTTTCGATATGTTTGTTCTGGGTGTGTTTTTGTTTTGTTTTACTGTGAAACTTTCCAGACACTGGCTCCCCAAAACCCATCTGGAACTCATTGCTTGTAGGGGCAGCGGAGCCCTGCCTTCCTCCGGGGGGCCCAGCTCTGCGCCGCCCC